GGAGGGTATTATGCTGAGTGAAGTAAGTCAATCGGAGAAGGACAAACAGAGTATGTTCTCATTCATTTGGGGAATATAAATGATAGTGAAAGGGAAAAGAAGGGAAGGAGAAAAAATGTGTGGAAATATAAGAAAGGGAGACAGAACACAGTCTCCTAACTCTGGGAAACGAACTAGGGGTGGTGGAAGGGGAGGAGGGCGGGGAGTGGGGGTGAATGGGTGACGGGCACTGTGGGGGGCACTTGACGGGATGAGCACTGGGTGTTATTCTGTATGTTGGTAAATTGAACACCAATAAAAAAATAAATTTATTTAAAAAAAAGAAAAAAAAAGAAAATATGGTACATACACACAGTGGAATATTATGTAGCCTTAAAGAAGAAATCCTGCCACATATTACAGCATAGATGAACCTTGAGGACATTATGCTAAGAAAAAGGACTTTAGTCACAAAAAGACAAAATACTGTATGATTCTACCATATGAAGTATCTAAAGTAGTCAAAATCACAAAGACGAAAGGTGGTTACCAAGAGTTGGTGGGAGGGGGCAGGTGGAACTGGTGTTTAGTGGATATAGAATTTCAGTGCTTCATGATGGATTTTCTACAGATCTGTTGCACAGCAATGTGAATATACTTTACTAAACTGTACACTTAAAATTGTTGAGATGGTAAATTTAATGTGTTTTCCCACGATTAAAAAGTGTATATAAATAGGAAAATATGTAAGACTTGAAGAGCACAGTTAATAAGCTTCATAAAATGAGTGTTCCCTCATTCTCAATTATCTACAAAGAATCTTGTAAGATGATATTTATTTTTATTATGTCTCACAGATATGCCCATAAAACATAATTAAACAGATATTAAAACACTATACCAGTTTACCCAAGTTAAAAAAGTCTTTGGGTTTTTAAACTTTCTTCTTTGGTAATTTTAATTTATAACTTAGTTATTTCATATAAACTTTCTTTTTTTTTTTAAATTTACTTATTTATGCTATTCACACACAGAGAGAGAGAGAGAGACAGAGACACAGGCAGAGGGAGAAGCAGGCTCCATGCACCGGGAGCCCGATATGGGATTCGATCCTGGGTCTCCAGGATCGCGCCCTGAGCCAAAGGCAGGCGCCAAACCGCTGCGCCACCCAGGGATCCCTCATATAAACTTTCAAATGAACTGTTTATAGTATCCCTGTTTCCAATATCTCAATTACTAATTTCTATATTTATGTGTCTTCACTCTCACTCTTAAATTTTTTAAATTTTGCCAGAGGTTAATCTATTTGTTTTTTCAAAGAGTCGGAGGAATGGTCTCAGAACTATTTGTGTCAATTGGCCATTTAAGTTTAATAGTAAAAGACTGGTTAATGATAACAATGCATCATAAAATCTTCAGAAGGAAAGGAGAATGTTTTGTGGACCGTTTGTTTTTGTTTTTGTTTGTGTGCATGTGTGGCACTTTTAAGTTATTGGTTTTTAAAATCAGTACTTTTTAATGGAAACAACTTGACCAAAAATCTGTCACAGAATTTTGAGACCCACTAAAACAAAAGTTTAATGAGAAAAAAAAAAAAGTCAGTGTTTGCCTTGAGCCTCTTTACTATCTTTAGTTATTACTGCTATCATTATTATTTCCCTCTTTCAACTTTGAATTTATTCTGCAGTCTATCTTTTAATTTGTTAAATGCATAGCTCAATAATGATAGAGTTTCTCTAACTTAAGCAATTTAGGCTATAAATTTTCCTTTAAATGTTGCATTAGCTATATTCCACAAGTTTTAATCCATGGTTTAATTAAATTTACTTTCAAATATTTTCTAATTTTCACTTTCTTCTGTGACCAAGTTATTTCGACTTTTTTTTTAAAATTCCCAAACACATTGTTTTTCAAACTTCTTTTATTTTTAAATGATTTAATTGCATTATGGTCAGATAATGTGATCTGTAAAAATGACCAATCATTTAATTTTCTTGAGGGTAGTTTTGATGTTTTGTATATGGTTAATTTTATAAATGTCCCATAGACTTGAAAAGATTGAGAATTTTAAAATTGTTGGACACAAAGTTGCAGATCTATCCATTAGAACAAATGTGTTATTTGTGCTGTTCAATTTCATATATCCTAATTTTTCTTTGTGTTTGATTTATCAATTACAAAGATGTATAATAAAATTTTCCAACTATTAGGGTATCTGTTGTAGTTCTGTGGTTTTTGTAATTTTGTCCATTTTCATACATTTTGAAGTGATGTGTAAACAGTTTAGCATTGTTTAATGAAGTCATGACCAACTTTATCTCTTACACTAGTGTTTACATCTAACACTAAAGAGTAAAGTATTCCTCCCATTCACAAGTTTATTTCCTATGTTAACATATCATTAAAGAAGTTGCCTATTTATGATGTTTGAAATATTTTTTTGTGGACTAATATACAGATACTTTTATGAACATTGCATGGACACTGGAAAACTGCTTTCAGCTGATAGAACTTGGCATATATCAATTATTAATTATAGCATTTACATCTTCTATATATTTATCTTTTATCCATTTGAACTATCATGGGTTAGGAAACATGAGTTAAAGTTTCCTTATACTAATGCATTTCTTAGTATTTCATGTAATTCCCAAAGTTTTTTTCTCAATGAATTTAAATACTATGCTATTTGATATTTAGATATTTACAACTGTCAAATCTTCACTATCGATTGCATTTTTGAACGTTACAACATGCCCTTCTGTTCCTTAAGTAATGTGTTGATCTTTACCCAATGTTAAAATTGTGACTTTTTATTATTAGCCCAATATGCTTTCACTATTCTTTTATTTTCAACACTGCTGAATAACATCATTTAAATAGAACATATATTTAGGTTCTGGGGTTTTTTAAATCCAATTTGGGTGATTTTAGACATTTATAGGAGAGATTTGGTTTTGTGTTTTATATTAGCATTCTGTTTTCGTTGCCTTTTAAAATATTTCATTAAATGATCTGTGATATCCATATTTTGTTTAATGACTGTTCATTTTGGTAATCTACAAAGATCACATTTAAAAAATCTTATGTAGTCTGGATTCCCCAGAAAGCAGAGTCTGAAACAAAGGCTTATATATTTTGGGGGAGGGGCAGACATAGTCAAAAAAGAATGAGAAACGAGGGAAACAAGTCAAGAAGTGAAAAAATGTCAATGAGAAAGTGTTGTGAAATTAGCTGCTGATTGGTTTCAAATAGATTGATTGCTCAACCCTAAGCAAGAGGATAAATGGGCTAACATTCCTATTTCACAAGTGAGACATGAAGACTGACAGAGGTTCATTAAGTTCCCCAAAGTCCTAACAGCAGGTGGCAGTGCCAATATGTAAGCCTTCCTACTAACTTTATTGTCTCTTCATTCTGACACTGCTTCTCTCCTTCACATTTTTGAGGTTCCTACTCTGTGTGTCTGGCTAGGAGCTAGAAAAACACATTAAACATCTCTATGCCAATTGAGATCAAAGTTTAATGAGCACCATAGGCCACTGCTGTCATTAATTCTGATCTCTGCCAGTCTCTTTTCTTCTTTTTACTACTGTAGTCTGTACATGTTCTCGGTACCCTATGGACAATTCTTACCTTTTACCTATATCGTCTGTGAGCCTATCTATAAAGTGAAATGACCTATCACTTTACTTTGTAATGACAATAATTGATGGCTTTCATAATTGTTCATTCACCTTGACATCCTTCAGAATAGCTTCGCTTTTTTCTTTTTTGCTTTTCCAATCTCAATTATTTTCAAATGCTCCAAGATGACAACACATTGATTTCTGGAGAATCAATCCAAAGAATGCTCCTTCCTTTATGAATGAGCTTGATTTGTTAGGACTATAGGTTTTTGAAGAAATGAACTGAGAAAATTTTATTTCAGGAGGCATATTGCCTTTTGATGCATTTATTTAAATACGAGCTGAATTCCCTACCTTAGTTATGTTCCAATACAGTGTTTTTTTCTTTTTTAAAAGATTTTATTTATTTATTCATGAGAGACACAAAGAGAAAAAGAGGCAGAGACACAGGCAGAGGGAGAAGCAGGCTCCATGCAGGGCGCCCAACGCGGGACTCAATCCCGGAACCCCAGGACCACACCCTGGGCTGAAGGCAGCACTAACCGCTGAGCCACCCAGGCTGCCCAATACAGTAGTTTTTAAAATAAGGCATCTCACTCAGTAAGCCAAAACAATGATGAGAGGAAATAATACATTAAAATATGAAAAAAGATTACTATTATTTATTATTATTTTTAAGGATTTTATTTATTCATGAGAGACAGAGAGAGAGAGAGGGAGAAGCAGAGACACAGGCAGAGGGAGAAGCAGGCTCCATGCAGGGAGCCTGACGTGGGACTTGATCCTGGGTCTCCAAGATTACTATTATTTAAAAAAGATTTTTAAATACCTCAGCAATACTTACAATTGCAATTTTGCCCTTTCTGAGAGGGTTGTGAGGTTGTGTCTCCTTCTTGTCATCAACAGCCTAAGATACAGACTTGTATGGATGGAATTGTGCCTACTCAAAAGATATGTTGTTCAAGTCCTAATAATCTCTTATACCTTTAGATGTAACCTTATTTAGAAATAGGATCTTTGCAAAGGTAATCAGGTTAAGATGAGGTCATGCTGGATTATGATGGACACTAACCCAAAGATCTGTATGCTTATAAGAGGGACACAAACACAGACAAGGAAGACTGAGGGCAGAAGCCACGTGATTACAAAGCAGATACTGGAGTGATGCAGCTGAATGCCAAGGAAGAGCAAGGATTGCTGGGAACCACCAAAAGCCAAGAGGCTACAAAGGATTCTTCCCTGTAGCCTTCAGAGTGAATATGATCCACTTTGATTTTAAGCTTTTCACCTCCAGAACTATAAGAGAAATAATGTCTATTGTTTTAAGCCACCTGGCTTGTGGTAATTAGTTATGACAGCCTTAGGAAACTAATACAGGGCTTTCAAAATTAGTGACAATTAAAACTACACAGTGCCTTTAATGACTTTTCTCCCACATTTCAGAATTAACTTGTGCCTCATTCCATATCAAATAATTTAAGTAAAAGGCATAATATAGTTGACCTCTGAAAAAGAAAGGTTTGAAATGCAGGGTCCACTTACATGGGAAATTTTTTCAACATAGTACAGTACTGTAAATTTATTTTCTCTTACAATTTTCTTAACATTTCCTCTAGTTTAAGAATATAGTATATAGTACATATAACATACAAATATGTGTTAATACACTGTTTATATTATCAGTAAGATTTCTGGTCAATAGTAGGCTATTAAGTTTGGGGACAAAGTTACACATGGATTTTCAACTATGTGGGGGGTCGGTACCCCTAACCCCCACACTTTTCAAGGGTCAACTGGATTTCATACTACTGAACCATATTTACTCAGGAAAACCTGAACCTTTGAAAAATACAACTTAATACATAAGCTTTGATCTTCTAGAATTATAGGGGCTTTTCTTTATTTATATACCATGCTCTAAGACCTTATTTTAAATGAATAGCTATAATAGATTACTAAGAATAAAGCAACCAAAAAAGTAAGAGACAGTGAACATCAATACTAAACCTAATGAACTTTCTACCAAATGTGTACATTATCTGAAATGCCAATGAGTGAAAAGAACAAAAACTTTATACAAACTCAGTGAAGGCTTCTGAAATCCTACTTTAGCTGTGACAAAGAACAGTCACTACTTTAAATGTAAACTGCTCTACATTTACCAGTAGAAAATGAAAACATCTCCTTTTAGCCCCATCTTCCTTTGCCAATGTCCTCATACAAATGTTTAGTTACGGATTTTCGCACTTTCTGAAAATCAAATTCTTAGGGTTGTTCGACACAACCATTTATGCAAATAACACAGGTATTTGGCAACTCAGTCCTGTTATTGATAACTGAGAATCATACATGATTGTGGACAGATACAGATATATAGATATATATATACACACACACAATTATATATATATTTTCATACATGCTTATTTACAGAAAGTTATATTAGCTTGCACATTATATGCTAGTAGACAGATGCACATATAATGAAGTTAACTTTATTCACTTTAAGAACAAATATTTTTTAATAAAAGTACATATAGAAGAAAATGATAGCTAAGAGCTATTTCCTTTTAAATTTAAGACAAAATTGATTCTCAACAGCCTTTCAAAATAATCTATCCTGAAAAATTAAATTCTGTAATTTAAATAATTTACCATCATTACTGAAATTAAAATACATTAAGGAGATTCTTTACTCTCCAGTGACTGCTTTAGACCATGAAAGGCATCATAGAGGAGGAACAGAGATGGGCTCCATAGTCCAAAAGAAATAATTTGTTGAGTTTTATCAATCTAATACTTCTTTCTAAAATTAACTATATTCCTTTGAAGTAACTGAGTTGAATTAAAAAAAAAAGCTGCAAATAGGAGGTAACCTCCCATACAGAACATTTTGGTAGACTTACAGGAGATTTATGAATACCTATCTCCACAACTAAGTAGGCAATAAATCAGAAAGATATTTGATATAAACATTAAAAAAAAAAAACCTGAAAGGTCAGAAGGCACATTCTAAAGAATATAATCAAGTAAATAAAAGAGAATGAAAGTTTACCAATAAAGTAAAATTCTCAAGAAACCACTGAGACTTAGAAAACTACTTTAAAAATTAAACATTTAAATTTTATGCAAAAACAAAAAATACTTCTTATAAGGGCTTTTTATCACTTAGCTGTAAAAAAAGTTTTAAAAATTCACTAACAGAAATAAGAGGAAATAAAATTTTCTTCCAATTAGAATATTCTATGAAGCACCTCATTTTCTCCTAAGTTTTCCTTAAACTAAAAAAACAAAAACTAAAATACAAAACAAAAAACAACAATGACATTAGTGTGGTATTGAGTTCACTGTAGATTCACTGCTATTTTCTTTATCCTGCTTTTCTTCTTCGTGGGGTGACTCTAGTTCATTTCTGCTATTGTCCTCCTCACTGGAATCACTGTCCAACCCATCTTCAATCCTGGCAGATTTCAGATCATGTGAAGAACTTTCACAGGCTTTGTCTGTGGGTACAGCTCCTTTCCGTTGGGGCAAGATAGTAAAAAATGCTTCTTGCCAGTCTCTGGTTTCCAGATATTCCAGAATAATCTCAAACACTGCAACAAAGACAAACTCCATGCATTTAGTAGCCAAGGTTCATTACCATGCTGCATTCTATATTTTAAAATACATTGCTTTTGCATTTAGAGTGCTAATATGTCCTAATAACTACTCTGTTCATGTCACTTCCTTCTCCTGTGCCACTGTCAGAGTCAATCTGCCCCAAGGCCCTCTAGGCCTGCTATCCCTTCTCCAGCTTTTCCTCAATTCAGTTCAAGAGCACTCAAAGATTTACCATTATCTTTTGTCAATTAGAATCAACAGGCAGGGAGGGATGACCTTTTTCATGTCCTTCCTATTCTTCTTTATCCCCTTCACTTCTTTATCCTTTACATGCTAACATAAACTAGAAACAAACAGGGATGCCTGGGTGGCTCAGTGGTTGAGCATCTGCCTTTGGCTCAGGGCATGATCCCAGGATCCTGGATCAAGTCCTGCATTGGGCTCCCTGAAGGGAGCCTGCTTCTCCTTCTGCCTATGTCTCTACCTCTCTCTCTCTCGTGAATAAATAGACAAAATCTTAAAAAAAAAACAAAACAAAAAACTAGAAACAAACCAAAAAAGTTAGCATTTATCTCTATTTTTTCTATCTTTCCTATAAAGAGTCACTCACTTTGGGGAGCACACCTTGCCTGCTTTTTTTTTTTTTTTCCTTACATTAGAGGTAAAGAATATAAATGCTGTCTTCAAGGTATTCTCAGTTTAATATATTGCTCAATGGCCTAATTTGTATTACTTTATGGGAAAGTAATTTCTATTATCTATCAAAAGTCTTCGAAGAAGTTCATTCCTTGAATAAGTTTATTTCTGTAATTCCCTAGAGCCTGCTGTAAAGAAAGTGGTTAGTACATAAAGCCCAATAAATAGTTGTATACTAACAAAAATCTCTACTGAAAAAAAATCTTAAAAAGCAAAACTCCAGGCAAAGACTCAGGTCCAAGAATATCTACTACAATGTTATCTAAAATAGCAAAAAAGGAAAAAATTCAATGACAGAAGAATGGTTACATTATTGTATATTCAGATGATGGCGTATTATGTAGCCATTAACAATGATTCAATGATAGAAAAATATAATTATAAATGGGGAGGAAACACCAACATTTATAACATTTTATGCAACAGAGTAAAAATCCAATTATATAACAAATAATATTATATAGGCATAAGAAAAGAACTGGAAGGAAACACATCAAAAAGTTTCTACCAAGTATCTCTAAGTAGTAAAATTAGAGCTTATTTTTCTTTATATTTTTCTACATTTCCAATATTTCTACAATATGCATGTATTATTTCTATATTCAAACAAATGATAAATGATTACATTTTATAATTTTGTCTCCAGCAAGATGCATATTTTCTACTTGCCCAAAAGTAATGTTATTTTTCACATTGTTCACTCCGGTATATTTTCATAATCCCCTTATAGCTTACCATGATTAATTGCCAAAACTTTTCTACTATTCATCTTCACAAAATTTCCAAGGGGAGCTGTGCATGATCAATTCCATGATCTGATGCTTGTTTATATGTGAGTCCCTAAAACAAAGATACTATAACTTGGACTAGAACATTGGTTTATTTTAACTTAAAGTCTATAACAGAATAATTACTTTGTAGAAACGACTTAATTCAGAGAACATTGTCTGACGAAGTGTGTGTGTATTTACCTGCTAATTTGGAAGCGTTCTTTTGATAATAAGTATCATCAGAATCATTTGCTTTAACAAGTTTACAAAGGAGGAAACAAAAGACATGTTTCCTGCCCCATCACAAAGCTCCTCAGTGGAAGAACCATAGGAAAAATCCAACTCATGCCTTTTGACTCAGATAGCTTTTCACCATACCACACTGCCTTTCTCTCAGTTTAAAATACTCAAACTGAATTCCTAGAGAAGCAACATTACCCTTCCCATGAATGTAAAAGACATAAAAATAAAACTATGTTTAATCACATAACATTAAGAGGCACAAATGACAAAGACAAGTAAATGAAAACCTGAATTGAAAAAAATTTTAAATTGCTGACAAATTTTATTTTTCCTATCAATTAAAATATTGAATATAAATTTTCTCCTCAAAATTAAAATCATTAAAGCCTATTCTAAACAGAACTAAAGTAGCCAAAAGACAAAGTACAGGAGAAAGAAGAGCTAGATTTCTTAACCAATAGTTTGCATATTTTAGGGACAAATAATAGACTGAGACAGGTGCTTTTGAAAACAAAATTAATGTAGTTCAGAAAAACATACATCAGAGAAAAAAAATATGATTCCATGCAAATAACAAAATTGTTCCACTAAGAAAAAAAATTTAAAAAGCTACAGATCATTCTGATAAAAACTCCCTAGGATGCTACAGAGCTGCACTGACCAGTTATGGCCACAGGTGTGACTACTTAAGTTTGAACTGCCCAGCAGCCACATGACTACTATAATGGACAAGATGAATATAATGAATATAAATTATTCCACCGTTACAGACAATCTAATTTAGAGTGATGTTATTTAAGAATAATGGATTACTTCATATTCTGCTGACAGTATTTCCTCAGACAATTGGTAAACATGTTTTTACTTGAATTGGGTTGAATTTAGCAGGCTCCAAAGTAGCTGCGAAGTACGAAATAACATTTTCTTTTAGAAAGTTTATTTCTGCAATTTTTCATTCAAATGAGGGTAAGGAGGTGGTGGGAAGAGACAAAAATACATAATATAAAAGAAAACACACCCCATGAAAATTGCGTATTTAAAAACTTGTATAAATTTATCATTTTGGTATCAGTTTTGGTATAAATTTTACCAATGGCCTAGAAATTGATCAGCAGCAGCATCTACCCTCAATATATCATTTAGGCATGTAGGCTCTGGAACAATCTGCTAGTTTCAAATACCTGCTTTTTCACCTACTATTTATTTTAGACTTAGTTTCTCTGTGCCTCCAGTTCATCTGTAAAATGTAGAAAATAACGGCACTGACCTTACTGTTGTAGGGAGGACTAAGCAAATTAGTAATATATGTGAAATGCTTCCTTAGCCAGAAAGGTGGACTGAAATACAGTAGGCACTCGATAAAGATCGACTATCGTTAATACTATTGCTACTGTCAAGAAAATTGGCAAATCCATTTTAAGAATGAGCAAAAGCAAAAATAAAAACTTAAGAGTACCTTGTGATGGTTGTGATCCACTAATCCTCCAATCACATAGGCCTTTGATTCATCTAATTCCTTCAGTACATTAGGTGAGTCTGATGTTAGATAAATCAGGTCTTCTTTCTTTATGAATTCACTATAGTGCTCTGGTTTGATGTGGATATCCTTAAAGACACAAGGAGAAAGATGTTATTAATAGGATTTTGTGAAAATTGGCTAAACATGATTATTTTCTTTTCCATAGACAAAGCCACCCAACAGCGTACGAAAGGAAGTATGGGGGAATATTTTACAATGTATTATTGAGAACCTACTACTTCAACTCGTCATCAGCTCACACCCCAATTACTTAAGTGGCCTCCTACTGTTATTTTCGTCTCAAGGCTCAGATCCCTCCAATTTGCCTCTAGACACTGACGGCAGACTCACTTTCTAAAAACCCTACTTTCAATGTTTTATCTTTACCTGTAGGATAAAACTTAAACCCCTTTCCTGAATATGGCACTAACCTAGCTTTCTAACTTTATCTTTGTTCCAACAAAACAGATACATTTTTTGTCCACATATCTGTTCATACTATTCTCCGACCAAAGAATGCCTTTTCCAATTACTTCCTCTCCATTTGCATGAATCATCAAAAGGAAAAGACTTATAGATTTAATAAATTCCATGCATGTTTCTACAAAGATACACATTTGAAATCTACTCCACCAAAACTATCAGGTCAGAGGTACAAGACTGAATAACAGTTGGCAGTCAAAATTTTGCAAACTACATTGATAGAATAAAGGATGATGCATCGCCAGACTCAGATGGCATTTGCTAATAATTTGTAAAGAATAAAAAATGAAGGAGACACCTCACCTAAAATGCATAACTTACTAGGTAATAAATAGCCACTTTCCTGGAAAATGGTATTAATGGTATTAATTTGATCAATACTTAATCAGAGCCCTAACAGGGACCTGGGTAGAGACTAGTGAACTCATGATTCTCTGGAAAACTGGTGATATAAATAATAAATTCAACCAGACACAAAATAACTGAAAGTATGCCTATACTAACTAATTATATTAATTTCTTAGGAAAACAGGCATGAATATAAAACTTGGTAAATATATTGTACTTTAAAACTTAGGAAAGCTTTTGAAAATGTTTCACACTATAGGCTATTATTAAAAGAAAAGCAGGGGCGCTTGGGTGGTCAGTTAGGCGTCTGACTCTTGATTTCAAATCAGTCATGATCTCAGGGTCATGAGATCAAGCCCCGCATCAGGCTCCATGCTGGGCATGGAGCCACTTAGGATCCTCTATCTCCCTCTGCCTCTCTAAAACAAATAAAAACAAAACAAAAAAATAGATGCAGTTATTATGGGATTAGTGAATGTAAGAGGGTAAATTTGTCACAGTAAGAATCGGCTTTGAGAAAGGAAAAGAAAATAGGACTAACCCAGTACATCTCTGAATAGGGTAAGGTTCTTCAGGGATTAGTTCTAAAGCCAATCTATTAGTCATCTTTCCAAATGAGAATAGTTTAAGTCCAACAGAAAAAAAAAATGTGAGCCACGTATGTAATTTAAAATCTTCCAGTAGACACTTTAAAAAGTGAAAATAGGTGAAATTGATTTTAATACATTGTACCCAACACAATATACCTTACTGGGGTTTATGTTGTTATTACAACATATAATTAATTTTTAAAAAAAATTTCAAGCAGGCATTTTACATTTACATTCTCTCTCTTCGAAATCGAATGTATATTTCACATTTATAGCAGATCTCAATTCAGACCAGTCACATTTCAAGAGTTCAATATTCACATGTGGATAGTGGACACCATATGGGATGGCACAGATTTAGAAAAAATAGAATTTCCAAATTTTAAAGGGACTTCACTCTTATAAATAATGTATCATCAGTTTGCTAGATAAAAATGATATACAGACCTTTAAAATTTTTCCTGTTTTAAAAAATTGTTTTAAAGTTGGTGGTAAAGAAAAAACTAAGAGTTGCTGGAGAGGAGGTGGGTGGGGGATGGGCTAGATGGGTGATGGGCATTAAGAAGAGCACTTGTGGTGATGAGCACTAGGTGCTATATTTAGTGATGAATCGATAAATTACTAAATTCTACACCTGAAACCAATTTTACCATGTTATCTAACTAGAATTTAAATAAAAAATTTAAATAAAAAGATAAAGTTGGTGAAAAATAAGTGAAATTGAATGAGAGCAGCTATAAACAAGCATTTCACTTTATTTGGCCTCTTCTGCTAGTAACATTAGACTCAGTACAGTGATATACAGGGTTTAAAGGCTGTTGACTCTTATATTTATTGGCAGTATGTAGAACTTAGGTAAAAAATTTAAGCATAAAAATACTTGGAATTATGTGAGAATTAATCTATTTTAATTACCTTCCAGTTGACCCATCCTTTGTCATTTTCATCCATGTTCTTTTTCAACTGGCCTCCATGACTTGTCAAGTAAAACTGATAAAGAGATTGGTGGACATGGAAAGAGAGAGCAAATGATTATTAAAATCCAACATTTTATTTCTCTTCTATACTCATCTGATCATCAATGAAACATAAAATATATTCATTCTAGAAAAAAAATTTGAGACATGCTTTACACATAGAAAAATAAATGTGTGGTAGAAGTGACATGTTTGGTGTATTTCATAATACAATACCTCAAGTATTCCATCAACATTTTTTCCCCAGTTTACAAGCAGCTACAATTTGACTTTCCCTTAATGATCACTTTTCTACAAACTCCCTACTTCCATGTCAAGTTTTCATTCAATTTTTTTGCCATCACTGTTTTTTATAAGTCCAAAGTCCTCTTTTTTTTTTTAAGATTTTATTTATTTATTCATGAGAGAGAGAGAGAGAGAGAGGAGAGAGAGAGAGAGAGAGAGGCAGAGACACAGGCAGAGGGAGAAGCAGGCTCCACGCAGGGAGCCTGACGCGGGACTCAATCCCGGGACTCCAGAATCACGCCCTGGGCCAAAGGCAGGCACTAAACCACTGAGCCACCCAGGGATCCCCGTAGTCCAAAGTCTTCATAATTTTCCTTTCATTCTAAACCCTGACACCTATTTCAAGTCTAATCGAGGTTGAGAAGAATATAAAATGTAAAAATATAAAAATACTACCACTTGATATAATGAATATAAATATCTACCCAGAATATATTAAGAGTTTCTGGTTTTTACCATCAGGGAGCCAGTGTTAATTTTTAGGTCACTTAGAATTCAAACAAATTCAATAAGAAAAAAGACCCTATCTACTCTTAACAGCACCAATCAGTCTAAGGAAGTACCTTTCAAAATGATCACAGACTCAAAATCCTTTAGGTAGAAGTAACTAACCAACAGGTACAATGGCATGCATCAAGCTGGGGGCAGTTCCCTCATTTCCTGGGAGGGAAGGAATTGACAGCTGAGAAACTGGTATAAAAATACATACATATCCTTAAATGAAGGTGTTCAACTACACAGGAATGAGGTCAGTGTGTAACAAAACACAATGAGTGTGCAGCATGTGACTAAGATTGACTTGGGAAAAAATGATGAAAATATTTTCTTTTTGTAGCAAATTAAAATACTTTTCAATTAGGCATTTTGTTCTCTAAGGAAAAGCATCTGTAAAATTCTTGTATAGACAACTGGAATTATCTGTGCCTTTTCCCCAGGACGTTTTAAAAGGAAACTGGAAACTGTTTTAAATTCCCCAAACATACCTGCACAGGATGCAGTGCCCGTCGATTTTCTGCATAACATCGCTGAATCTGCTTATGAAGTTTCTTAATGTCCTATAAAAGAGTGCAATTTTTAAAGCAGCATTTTGAAAATCATCTATGGCCCATGCCATAGTCTTAATAGAATAGAATAAGCAGAAGAGAGGGACTAGACAGGTACATTTTCCCCCCCTCTGGCAATAACAGGTTCTTTCTGATATTTTCCATTCAATTTCTGTAAGTACTAACAATAATTACTTTAAGTAAAGTCAATACTCTATAACTGATCAATAATTTCAATTTTGTATCCACTGAAAAGGCTAATTCATGAAAATACTCTCTTAAGAGAAAACAAAAGAAGAAAAACTCTTAGAGCCATACTATTGCTATTTTCATAATTTACTAATGGTTTGTAAAGTAAGTGAAGCATATTCCCTTCACTAAAATTGTTCAGACAACCAGTTTTCTCAAACTACTAAAATAACAAATAATTCTATTAAACTAATTACATTTCTTTCTTACTTTCTTCTTCTGGTTAGGACAAATAGCAAAAACACTCCTGGATCTTTATGATTAAAATGCTGTTACTGAATCAAATAATCTAATTATGGTATCTGTCTCTCTCTTCCATACATAAAAATAGAGCAATTAGCTAGTTTAACTTAGGGAGCATGACCTTGAAAAATTTTAAGATGGACTTTAGTATATAAATTCACATCAAAGTGATATTACCTCTTAAAGCAAGAATTAGTCACCCTACTTTGCCTACAGGATTTTCCTGACAATGATTCATGATACCTTTAATACCATTAGGCTGTCAAAACTGCAGTCAATGATAAGGCGGAGTGTGCTGTGAACAACATCCCTTCGGATACGTTTTCTGTCATTTCCATCTAAGTTTGATTCCAGTTGACACTGTCGCTCTAATTGTTTTCTTTTGCGTTTTTCCTTTCGCTTTTGTCTAAAATCAGGAATTGAAACTCTTTGTTATTTACATACTCAGATATTTACAAGACTCTTCTAAATAGACAAAAAAATAATTTTTTTTTTTTAATTAGCAGGCTGAACCACATCAAACTACCACTTCTGTGGGTCAAATATCAGTAATTTTATATGGTCCATCTAAAAGCTTTAGGTAGAAAGAAAATGATTTTGCAAAAACATAGTATTTTCTACACAAACCCTGATGACTATTAATTTCATTTATTATTGCTATTACCCCATACTAAGGCTTTATGAAATACTGAATTTTAGACTTAAAGAATTTTTATTTTTATCATTCATCTCCTACATGATTTTCAAATGACATTAGAATATAAAAGAAGCAAAGTAAAAGTGTTTTTTAAAAAAACATACATTTTCTATAATCTACATCAACTATAGTTTATTTCTCCTCAATATGTTGGCATTATACAATAATAGCTTCAGTTTAACTGCTCTCACCAAAACAATGGTTTTTCTAGCAAAATCAATGTTAGGCTCAAATTTGATCTGAGGTGGTTATTTCTGTTCTATATCTAGGACATGGATGCTAACTATATCCCTTATCTAAGTCAGTTATTTCAGAAACTGTGCTGCTACTCACAATAGGTTCTGGGTGAGAAAAAGTGTAGTGTAAATCCACCTAGACTGAATAAATACAGTTTTAACATCCAATTGACAGTGCTAGCTAACAACATACATAGCCCAAATTTTAATTAACACAATTACTTCTGATGTGGCTATACAAAGTTCAACACTCCTGAATGGGGTAGCATATATGTGTTTTGAAACATACTTGCGGAGTTCTCGTTGTTCTTCCCACTGTTTCTGTTTAATTAGCTTCTTCATCTGTCGTTTAGATATTGGTTCAAACCGTTCACCTAATCTTGGCTTCTGGCTCTTCTCTTGATCTTCACTTAAACTTTGCTTTCTTTCAACATTAGAAGACTCAATAAATGCTGGCAACATTTCAGAGGACATTATTTGATGCCTCTGAAAAAATTGAAAAGCAACTTTTAACATGAACAGGTAAGTTAAACACACACACACACACACACACACACACACACGCATGCAAAAAGTAAAAAAAAAAAAAGACCAATAGATGTGATTAAGATTAAAATTAAATCCTATCAACAAATAAAAATATAAATTTATATAATTTAATGTCATTTACTGGAAAAAAATCATCATTTGACTAAATAGGGTGTTTTTGCATATACTATTAGCAGTCACAATTTTTCCAGGTTACACAGAGCTTTAAAATGTCATGATACCCTTTGACCCAATAACTTATTTCCTCACAATAAATCCCTGTAAATGAATCAGAGATATATACAAAATTAATGCAAAAAGATATATGTACTGCAGTATATAATTTTTAACAATGAAAAATTAGACTACTTGAATGTCAGCAGAAGGTAGGTGTAAATAAATTACAATTCATCCGTAACATGGGTTGGGAATACTAAGCATCCAGTAAAAATCATATTTCCTAAAATTATTTAGTGATAAAGGGAAATGGTTATGCTAACTAAAAATAAAAACAGAAAACAATATATATTATGTCCAACTTTGTTTTAAAAAGAATATGTACACATAAGCATATGTAATTCTTACTCATGACTCTTCTTGAACTTTCTGTATTTTATATAATGAAAATATATTGTTTTGTAAAAGAAAAAATACTTTTAAAAAAGTGATAGGAAGCATCTTTTTTTTTTTTGGAAGCATCTTTTTTTTTTTTAAGCTGTCATTAATGCTACAGTACAAGAGAAATGTTACTTTTATTATCTGAGTGTATACTCAGAAATGATTTTTGACAAAAGATATGCTATAGATTTATATATTTTGGACAATGAAAAAAACAAATTTGGCTTCCTCTCAGTATATTTCACTGTAATATGTAATTATAAATATCCACATTATGATGGCTATAAAATAAAATACATAAGCTGATCTTAAAATTAGTCATGAAATGTGTAGGACCATCTCAAACATATTTAATTGGATTAACTACCCAAAACTTTATTGTCTAGAACTAAACTTACCTTTGGATTAGGAAAGGGCTAAAAATACTGATTTCTTTTGTCTTGAATAGATTAATAACACTACAACTTAAAAATTTACTGATTTTTCCCAGCAAAGTCTAAGCATGAAGCTTGCAAATGTTCTATTGGCTTTAAAAAAAATTCTGTGCTTCTCCCTTCTTAAAGAGATAGCTAACAAGTCTGTGCAGAGAAGCTAACATCTAAGAAAAAAAATCTCAACAATTCAGATAATGGAAAGGACAAAACCTTGCAGAACATAATTTAAGCAGTAGTTTTATTATATGATTTTTGCTTTCTTTAAAAGTGTAATGTAACAGGCAGGATACAGAGGGATAACTAAGCAAACACAAAGTTTACCAAATTTAACTGAAAGATGAATCTTACGATGTGTGTTTTGGTAGCTACACAAAAGTCCTGGCATTTTGCTAGGTCACATATTATGAGGGGGAAAGAACCATCTAGCAATCTAAGAGTTCACAAATTTTCCTTATACCATTAACCAAACAGTATTCTTAGTTTGGGGAAAATATCTCCTAGAAATGACAATTTGATTTTACACTGGAAACTGCCTATGGGCACAGATGATGTCTGCTTTTGCCTAACATTATATTGCCACATTACATTACTAACATAGTACCTGGCGCTTAGTAGATGCTTATTATATATTTGTGGAATAAATGAGTGATTACAACAGATTTTAGAAAGTAATGAAAGTGGTTATAGCAAACCTTTATTAATTCTTACTGGGCTAAAAAGTATTATCTAATTTAATCCTTAAAATAATCCTATGAGGTTAGACAGCATCATGTCTACTTTACAAAGAAAGAAGGCACTGTGAGATAAAAATAACTTGCCCCAAATTACAAAAGTAGTAATTAATCCCTAAAAACAGGCACCTAGAACAAATCTCGGACAAAGGAGGTCCTCAAAATACTTGCTGAGTGAAAAGACAAATGAAGTGATGGAGCTAAGATTCAAACCCAGGTTCAACTCTACTCTCCCCTAGACATCCAAAATCTTATTTAGAATATGAGGGTTTCCAAAGAATGTAAAAGGGCTGTGTTTACCCCTGATGTTGGAGATTCAGAGAACACTGTGTCACTCAGAAGAAAAAATAGCTCCGGTTCTATTCCTATGCTACTGAATACAAAAATGGGACAGACTTCCTAGAGATAGTTGCCAAAAGTTCATGTTTTGAGGCATCCTCTCAATCGTAAAATACATGACAACAGTAGATAAAATCCAAAAGGAAACAAAAAAAGGTATAGCCTCTCTCAAAACCAAAAACAAGAACTAAAATAGGTACTATTCCTGCTGAGTCGGCCATGTAAAGGCAGCGGGATGGGGGTGGGGGGTTTCCTCCTAGCTTTAAAGAGGATGGAAGAGGGGCAGCAGCCCAGGTGGCTCAGTGGTTTAGCGCCGCCTTCGGCCTGGGGCCTTGGAGACCCGGGATCCAGTCCCACGTCGGGCTCCCTGCATGGAGCCTGCTTCTCCCTCTGCCTGTGTCTCTGCCTCTCTCTCTATCTCTCATGAATAAATAAATAAAAGCTTAAAAAATAAAAAAAAAAGAGGATGGAAGATAGCAGACAGGTTTAAAAAATATATTTCTTTAAAGATTTATTTGAGACAGAGGGAGAGAGAGAAGCTACATGGGGGACAGGGTGGGGAGGGGGGCAGGGCAGGGAGAGGGACAGAGGGAAAGGGAGAGAAATAAGTTCCTGGCTAAGCGTGGAGCCTTATGCACAGCTCAATCTCCCAACCTTGAGATCATGACCTGAGCCAAAATCAAGCATCGGATACTGAACAGACTGAGCCCCTCCCATTCCAGGTGCCCTTAGCAGAGGGTTTAAGATGAACCCTTAAACTAATGTTGTGGGGGGGAGGCTCCCCTTTCCATGAAGAAAGTCTGAAAACAGGTGAAATTGAGACTAGTGGCTTATACCACACTGGTCACCTGGGGAAACCTGAAGGAAGCGGACACAGCTTCTCAGTTACAAGGGCCAAACCAGAAGATGACATATGAACTTAGAAGACTACAGGACTAGAATTCTGAATCATCTATGTAAGCTGTGTTGTGGAATGAAGCACGTAACAGGGCCCTGGGTAAGAGCATCTACACAATCAGCAGCAGATAGATGGTTTGGAGAGAGGAAGTGATAATTTCATCAGAGGACCATGCAAAGTTACAAAAAAGACAGAAATGAGAAAAACCCAAAAAACCAACAATCAGGAGATAAGTTCACTCTACACAAACTGAAAACAATAGGGACACTTGGATGGCTTAGCGGTTTTGCGCCTGCCTTCAGCCCAGGGTGTGATCCTGGAGCCCCGGGATCGAGTCCCACATCGGGCTCCCTGCATGGAGCCTACTTCTCCCTCTGCCTCTGTCTCTGCCTCTCTCTCTGTCTCTCCCGAATAAAATCTTAAAAAAAAAAAAATCACTTTTATTTTACTTCCTTTACATACATAGAACATTAAATAGAAGTCAGCAATGCATATATGCAAAACAGTACATGGGAGAGAAAACAAGTTAAGCCTATTTACCACGCTAAGTGTGTAAACTTAGAAGCACAATTAAAATTCACAGGAAACAAAAAACTGCTGTCTTCATAAAACAATGCCTAATATTCCAAAAGGGAACACTTCCGTTCATCAGTGGCATCGTATTTTGCTAGTTCTTTATTCTGTCAAAAAACTTCCAGTGTTGATTGGCTCTATAATGTGAAAATAAAAAAAAAAAAAAAAAAGCAATATAGAAATGTCTTACAACTCGTGTACACCAGGGGGAGCTTTGGCCTTTCCTATCTAAAAAGTCTAAGTCAAATTTAACTTGGCTTATCACTGCATACTAATGTTTTTAAACAGCCTATCAAATGCAAGGAAAGGTCATGAGCTAGCTGACATTTTCATCATTTTAAAAGCTATTTCCAATTAAGAAAATGCCCTGCAGCAAGTGAATTTTTTGAGCTCTGATAAGCTAGATACTAGCTTGAGAGTCAATATATTACTGCTTACATCACACTTTACATACAAAAGGTATGTACCAACTCCCACTTGCTATACCATTCAACAAGCATTTCACTAGCTTGTTCAGACTACCTGAAGCAAAATGTGGCATTCTCTTTTACTAGGTATACTTTGCTTTTTTAAAGTTTTTGCCACGGTGTAAACTCCGCAACGGTTTTGTGTTCCTCCCTCACATGCAGTGACACGGTCCATTTTCACTTATTCAACCATGTTCAACAAATACTTAAGAACATTATTTTGTAGCAATTATAGAAATATCTGTTATGAAATTTAACACAGAATTTTTTGCAAGGTTGGTCAATTTAGTCACAGAAACAGGCTATCAGGTGGTCTGATAAAACCAATACTGGATAAAGGCGACTAAGGTCATTTGGTGTGACACAAGTTTAAAAAAAAAAAAAAGAGGCATCTCAATCTTCCCTGTATTTGCAGTTCTCAGCACAGCTTCCAGCAGGGAACACACACATACATCAGTGAATAGCCAAAACAAAACAAAACAAAACAAAACAAAAAAACCCTCGACTTTTATGATATGGGTTAGGCTAAATAGTCTTCATAATTTATGACAGAGCCTCCCTTCCTGAAGGATGCAAACGAATGTTGGAATAACTGCAAAATGGAATTAAGTGACCTGACTTAATTAAGGGAAAGAAAGAAAACAAAAACAAAAAACAAAAACCTTTTTAAAAGGCGCCGGCCCAGTCCTGCAGTATGGGAAGCGCCTGATTCAGCCGTCAGGCCCCGTGGGAGGATTGGGCTGGGATGGGGAGATGGGGAAGAATGAAAAACAACCAAAACAAAAAGGGAGAAAGTCGTCTGTTGCTACCCTCTGTATAGCTCTAGAAAAACTGCCGAGTTTTAACACTTTAAACATTTCACTGAAATCAACGCCTCAGTCCTCCTTAAAAACTATCCCCGGCTCACCACCACGGGGCCTGCAGCGCCTGCAGCACCCTTCGGCTGGCCTCTACGGTACACAGCGCCCAGCCAGCCCCTCGTCGGAGAAAGGAGAGGAGGCCGACGGGAAAAGCTAAAGCGGCTGCTCACGGTCTCTCGCCACCAAGTGGCAGAACCACAGCTCGTCTTCCAGCCTCTCAGAGTCTAGATTTCCCTCTCCCTTCATTATTTGGAAACTCACACTCTTCATACACTAGGGACCGGATCCCGACCCCCAAACAAACGTCGACCGGAGGCGCCCCCACGGCGGGTGGGTAGGGCCTCGCCCCACTCTCCCCTCCAGGCACCCGCCTACGCACGCACTGGAGGAGGGATTAAACCGCAGCCAGCCAATCAGGGAGCTGCTTGGCGCCGGGGACGCGCCCTATCTGACATCACTTCCTTTGCGAACTGGGTCGCGCCGCTTCCACAGCCCCACTCCCCTGTCCCCCGGAAGCCGTGTTGCTAGTCGAGGCTGGCACTTGCAAGAGCCTCTTTTGCGCCCAGAGAAGACCAGAGAGTAGGCAAACGCCAGCGGCAGTGCCAGGTGACTTACCGAGCTGAGGAGTTGTCAGGGAACTGAGAGCACCAACACAGAGCCTTCTCCTAGTGGTCTCGCTACGGCTCACGAATCTTCCCTAGGAAACTTCAACTCCCAGAGGCAGGGACGGTAGCTACGCGTAGGAGACGGCGACGCTTACGCCTTTACGTCATCGAACTGCGCCACGTTTGGACCCGCAGTGGAAGAAAGGGGAGGGAGTTCATGTTGGGCGGAGTTGGAGTTTTTGGAGTGGGGGTGAGGGGTGGTTACAGTGATGTCTGTTTTTCCACCTCCGAGCAAGTGTGTACTTGCAGGCATGTGTTCATTTATATCTTCCTTTGGGGCCGAGGGCGGTGTTAAGACATACTTACTCTTGAAAATGTTTAATTCGAGACGACGGTGGAGGGCTCTTTAATTCTCTACCGAAGATGAAAGGAAAGCATAGCTATGCCTAAACTATAATGTGTGCAGAAGAAAGTTGTCGGTATCACACGGTTTCACGCGACTCAAATGAAAAATCGAATTTTAAGAAGGAGTCAAACTCCCAATAAGATGCACTTGAGGGATCCCTGGGTGGCGCAGCGGTTTGGCGCCTGCCTTTGGCCCAGGGCGCGATCCTGGAGACCCGGGATCGAATCCCACGTCGGGCTCCCGGTGCATGGAGCCTGCTTCTCCCTCTGCCTGTGTCTCTGCCTCTCTCTCTTTCTCTCTCTGTGACTATCATAAATAAATAAAAATTAAAAAAAAAGATGCACTTGAATCTAGGCTGCTTAAACGTCTTTATTAAAATTATAGTCCTAAATCGTATTAGCCATTCATTCCTTGAACTATTTTTCCTATGCTACTTTGCAAAACATCATGTGACATTTCATTGTTCATAATACATGACCCTATATGATCTTTTTGCTATATATAGACCAAGTCAACTGAGGGACAACTGAAACATAATCTAGTAGACTGTCGTTTTCTATTTAGCTTTTGTTTTGGCCTACTTCTAATAGGTAATTACTACAGAATTTGAAGATAAGAATGAGATTTGAGTGGATGAATTAGAAGACTGCCACACTGGTACGGGAAGAATTGTGAAGTAAATTACTCCTGGTATTTGAAAACATATTTGAGCCTGTTTAAAGGTTTTAATAAACAGAAAATTAAATGCAGGATTTGAGTTCTCTAGTCAGAAAACTGAAATCATTTTTGCTTTAAACCCTCAAATTTTACTTGAAAAGCTGTGTCAGCTATAACATTGTTGTGGGTCACTCCCTATTTCTTCCTCGTCTTAAATCTAAAGGATCTCCTGACTAAACACTGACAACAAAGTCTGGATCCATTTCTGATGTTAGTAGGGCATCTTTTTTTCCAGCTGCCTCTATATCAGGCTAAAGAGTAGCTGAGGGAGGATTAGTAATTGGATATGTAGCCCTTCACATGTAGGTCATTAAACTCAAGCTGGCATAGTGACATGCCATATTTTTCAGCAGCTGTTCAGTGCCTCTCAGGATTCTGATTATGAGTAATTACATATTTTTCAGTGTTAATATTTGGCATCCTTATGTATTTAAAGCAGAATTTTTAAAGTTACCTTAAAAATTCATATTGTCATCGTGGAGCCAATAAGTTTTCTTTTGATACAGCCACTTCAACTTTACAGTCTAACTTTTACAGGTACAAATATTTAAGTGGTTCTACTATCAGTACAAAGCAAGCACCAAGAAAAGTGCCAGCAAGAAGAGGGGGGAGATTTAATCAGAAATTGAAGTATAATATAGACTGTACTTGGAAGTAAATTCATGATAGGAAATAATCTTATTTTCATTGAATTGTATAACTTCATGTATTTGTTCATGAGACACATTCATTGAGTTCATGTTTTTGTCTTAGTACTGTTGATGCAAAGAGAACTAAATCATAATCTCTGTCCTTGTAAGAATCCATCAACTGGTGAGAGAGCCAGCTGTAAATAAATACCCTTACAATGTACATGTGTGCTTGAGATGCCTATACATGGAAAGGAGAAACTAACTGCTCTTGGAGACAGGAGATTTAGTTTTAGAAATTAATTTTGCTTCATCTTGGAAAGCAAGTGATTTTTGAGATATCAAGAAGAGAAAGGTATTCAAAATATTGAGAGCTGTAAAAGCAAAGACATGTCATAATTTGGCACATGATTGAAAAGCTGTGGGTAGGATGAGAAAAAAAAGGAAGAAAGAAGAACCCTAAGGGTATTTAAAAATTTGGACAACTGTAGGAATGTAATTATGTTAAACTGGGTCATTTAGAGAATAGTGGAAGAAAATTAGGTTTATTAAAAAATAATAATTTGATACTGAATACATGGGTCCTAGGGAGTATGCAGGATATTTAAGTAGAAATAGAGATTTAGAAATCATCAGCATATATATGGTGGTTTAAGCCAAAATAAGAGTTTGAAATCAAAGAGATACTAGTTCTAGGGTTGCAAACCTATAAGCCTATGAGGACTAGAAGGTAAGAAATGCGAGAAACTATCTGGGAGAAAAGTGCCACAAACCTGAGAGAGAGTATTCTCTGTTTAGTGAGGGCACAAATACCAAGTAGGAATATGAGTTTCATTATACTAGATCTCAATTTTTAAAGAGCAGCCAGGAAACTGGATTTTTATGAAATCTTGTTTTTAAGTGTTGGCAACTATTTTGTTTGTTTTTAAAGTAGTGAGCAGGCTAAACAAAACACATGGACCACAATTAGATAATTGGCAGCCAGTTTGTTAAGTTGGACTGTCGTTTGTAGAGTGAGAAAGGGGCTCAGATAGAAGAATTTTGCAGCAACAACAACAAAATAGTAATAAATACAGTTATGAGATCCTCCAAATGTTTGGCTTGAAAACATTGGGCAGTCATCACAAATACCATTACTTTAAGCCTAGATCTGTTATTTCATTAAGTCTAAAAGTATCCTTCAGCAACTTGGGAGTGGGAGGGTGTGGGAATAGAGTAACACTGTGTGTACGTTAATTTCAGGCTAAGAAAGCAAACAAATTAATTTTTATTTTAAATTACTTTAAAGTTATCTACAAGGCAAAACCAACCTATTATGACTATTTCAACTTACATTTTGATTGATTTAAAAAATACAGGAAACATTTAAAACTTGAAAAACCATAACTTACCCCTGGCCCCCAAGTAAGACATGAATATTGAAGCTCTATGAAGATGACTGTGGAGGCATTGTAGTCTGAATCTCCTCATAAAAACAGGTAGAACATCTTGGATAGCAAAGCAATAATAATAACAACAACAAATACAGATCATGACTATAACATAACTAAGCGAAAAAGAATCCACATAAAGCTCAAAATACAAGCAGATGAGAACAAACTCAACTTAGTACCAATATCTGTGTAGGAGGAAATAGGAAGACAAGAGAGCATCTGAAGGCCATGAGAATGAGAGGACCCCAAACTGCCAACAGGTGTTCCCTGAAAAGCAAGACCAATATGAGATCAGGAGCAAAACTGGATGATTGTAATTTCAGGGTAAGTACAAAGGGAATTGCAAGAAGGTCTGAAAGTGCTGGAGAGATATGGAGATTATGAACTCATAAAATTTAATAATCCTGAGCTCCCTTCTTGGACAAAGCCCATCATTAAGGAGAAATTTCTGGAAGTAGAATCCAAATTGAGCAGGACAGGAACAAGAGAGGCAAAGAAAATGCAGGTCAAATAAAAGTGGGAGGGGTGATAGAGCTCAGAAAAGATAAGAATACATAGGTGTCATTTTAAGAAAATATGAGAAAAGGAAGCTCTAGAACTATGAGGCTAAAAATCTATTGTACCCACCCTTCCCTCTTGAAAGTAAACAATGACTTATTTAGCTTAAAACTTTACCACAAAAATGATTATTGTTGAATATTTCTTAAGTTGTTATAATAAGAAAATATGAAATAGAAAAAAACGTATAAAAACTATAATCCAGTATTTTAAACCAAGAGAAAATTTTTAATGATAGAAGACAGAACAACATAAACAAAAACCCCTCAGGAATAAAGCGATTGGAAAAGGGAAAATTTGAAGAAGAGCAACACAACTCAGAAAAGAATACAAAATATAAAAAGTACATATATATATTTGATTATCTTACTGGGAGTCTTAGCTAGTGCAATATGACAGGAAAAGGAAATAGTTTTCTCAGAGACTACTAGAACAATACATGCCAACAAGTTGAAAGACCTAGAATAAATTGATAAATTCATAGAAACAGCCTTCTAAGACTGAATCATGAAGAAATAGAAAATCTGAATAGACCAATTACAAGTAATGAAATTGAATCAGTAATTTTAAAAGCTCTTCAAAAAACAAAAGTCCAGGACCAGACAACTTCACCGGTGAATTCCATCAAACATTTAAAGAAGAATTAGTACCTAACCTAAATTATTCCAAAAATATTGAAGAGGAAGGAAGACTTACAAACTCATCCTATGAGGTCAGCATTGCTTTGGTACCAAAACCAAAGACCCATCAATATTCCTCATGAATGCAGATGCAAAAATTCTCAGCAAATTATTAGTAAAATAAATTCAACAATAGATTTAAAGGATCATAAGTCAGCATCAAGTGGGATATATTCTAGGGATGCAAGGATAATTCAACATCTACAAATAAATTAATGTGATACACCACATTAACAAAACAAAAGATAAAATCATATAATCATCATAATAGATGCAGATTGACAAAATTCAACATTAATTTACGATAAAAACTACCAAAGAAGG